TTTATGATTTAATAATAAAATTCTTTCTTCCCGATAGACAAAAAGGAAAGTGGGCCATCATCGGCCGTACAAGAAGGCGCTGAGAGGAGTAAGGAGAAGAGTATATATTTTTATTTTTATGATTTAATAATAAAATTCTTGTATTCAAGTGTATTCGAAGTGGCAAAAAAAAAAATTTTTTTTAACTGCATTCAAAGTGTCAAAAAAAAAACAATTGTTTTCTTTAATTTATTCAAGTTTTGAAAAGTAAAGAAAACAAAAAATTTGAAGAAAGTCACCCGCTTATCTAATTTTCTTTTTAAATTTTTTCAATTAGCGAAAAATGGAAGCAAATAAAGATAACGTTTTACAAAAAAGTGTGGGCCGATACGAAGGTTCCCGGCCTTATGTGCAAAGGACAACAGCCAATTTTGACAATTTGACAAGCTCGCAAAAATTTACATCATGTTATGAATTGTTGTGACAGTATGAATTTCATATCTCTGATGAAGAGTTCATCGATACGATGAAAGAAGTAAAAAATATAGAGGCTCCAGAAGAAAAAGAAACAATTGTGGATGTAGTATTTGAGGACTCTCCAGAAGGAGGAGATGACAACAAAAAGAAGACAATAGTAGATATATTTGAGGCTTTTCTACATCGCCGTTTAATAGTCCTGTAGTGTCACCCGAAACTAAGTTAAGAAATTTGGAACGGTCCCCTTTATATATTTTACGCGAAAAACGAAGAAAAACCTACAATCGCGAATTTAGAGAAAGGGCAAAATTGGCTCTTTTATACGATCCTACACCAGAAAGTAAGCGGCTCTTTATAGGCTTTTTTTAACAACTTTGTACTTTCTTTTTAGGAAAAGCTTCAGATCGAGATTCTGACGATATCGAGAAAGAGGACACTTACAACGTAAATGAAAGTAAGTTGTTTTTAAAATTTGAGAAGAGACAACATTTAAGTTAATCCAAAATTTTTCAGCTTTGGTGCCATCCAATCAGTTTAAAACTGAGATAAGTAACAATTATGATTGGGAAGAAGATGACGATGACATTTGTGCTTCCATAAGCACTCAAGAAATTCTACAAGATGTGAAGATGAATAATAATATTGATATTCCTCATATTTCATTATGCTTATTATTTTATTATTATTTTGATTGGCTTTAAAGATAATAGTGGATGCTCCAAAAGCTTGGTGCTGAGAGAAACTAATGTTGCATTAGGACTTCAAAAAGCTAGCGGAGAATGGCTGCAGTTAGGAGAAGACAAAAAAAAAGTTGGCGTGACTGTAATTTCTATTCAAAACGAATCGGAAGAAGTGAAAATAAAGTGTATGGAGATGAAGTGGGCAAAGTGAATAATCCGGAAAGTTCGCTTGTTTTTGCTGGTTTTCAAATAGGGAGTGGTAAAAAAATCTCCATATCGAAAAAAAGCCAAATATCCGTACAAAATATTCTAAACTAAAAGACTTAAAAGCTCGGAAGGCGGATGAATGTATGGAGTCAAAGTTTGGAAAAAATACAAACAGTTGTAGCAGCAGATTGTCAGCAGCTGGTCCAATTCTGTGTCGCAAAAGGCTTTGTGAGACACCCAATAGAAACACACGACAAACCGAGAGCGGTGATGTTTCCGCTACAATAAAAATGGATGTTATAAGTAAATAAAAGTGAGAATGGCTTACTCACTTTTTCTTTCTAATTGTTCTTCGATTCCGAGTTGTCTTACAAGTTGAACAGAGACAAAAACATTATGTGTATAAGATGGAACATTTCATTAGCAGCAAAAACAAAAACATTGTGTATAGAATATCGAATATTTCATTAGCAACATTGTTGCAACATTCTGCATGTCTTATGGCATATTTGCGGCGAGTTTGGCGGTGAAACAATCTGGACATAATAAAGAAACTAGGTTTTTCTGATAGATTTCAGCAGTTTTCCCGACATATTAAAAATCTACAGTCCCGCAATGCCTTTGAAAATTATCTTAGCACGATCGGGACATTGCATACTTTCAGTATTTGGACTGTAATATTGCATGAGATTTAGTACCAACAGCTTGGCTTTTTGGTTTTGTGATCGTAATTGGTGGCTTAGTTTGTTTCAAATGTGCACGCTTGCTAATAATGTTTCATTTTAATACCTATTTAACATTTTTGTTTTTTAATTTGCGGTAAATCATAATGTAGCAAAGACACAAATCTTTGAAATGTGGGTTATCTTGGTGGTGGGCTATTTTCACTTCACTAATACTTTTTTGTTAATGCTAATACAGGAGTGTTTTTTCCCTCTTTCACCCAATTACCATAATTTATCATTAAATACAATCTCTTTAAAAATACAATCTTGTTTAGCAATGCTGACCATTTCTTTTTTTGATTTCATGGCGTCTTGAACTTTTTCACGTACCTCTGCAGATTTAACATCGTTTCGTATAGAAAATAAGCGAACAATTTGATCCTCGCTTAGAGAAGGATAATTGCCAAGTAAAGTATGTAAATCAAGAACCAATAGCTCTATGTCACAAACTAATAAGGCGGATAGCATGGGTATCAAATCCAAAGGTGAATCAGTCATCGAGATGTTTGGAGCAATCTTTTCAAAGAATTGTTTTAGACGTTTAGCTTCAAGATTAATTTTAGTTTTAATAGCTTCACAATCAGCTAGAGTACGAGATAAGCGTTTAGAAAGTAAAGCTCGTATATAACGTTTTGCCAATTGTTTCTGCGCTTCATTTATAACCATTTCAAAGTTGATGGGACGCAAATGATTGTAGTCCTAAAAAAGAAAAAAACAAAGACACTTATCTAAATTGTTTAAAGAAATATTTTGAAAACTTTGGAAATTTACCTGAAAATAATCGTCCAAGGTAATGCAAATAGTGTCAACTGAAATGGAACTTGTCAACCATTTCTGGGTAAACAAATCGTTGAAGTGTCCTTCCAAGTCAAGAAAAGCTTCTGCCAATAAATAATTGGCAGCCTGTAGACGAATGCGTTGGAATGTGGCTAAAAGTTTTTCAAAATCTTCATAATGATCTGTACGCGACTTAGGCCAATACAACTGTTTCAGTTGATGAGCCAAATCTAACATTTGTTGACTATTATTAACAATAGAAATAATATAATGAGTGAAAAATTTGATTTGATCACGATTGCGAAAGTGATGTTCCTTCAATTCGACCACCTGCTTAAGATAATTTTGTCCAAATAAGTCCACCTGTTGTATGCTCATAATCAAAGCTTTGAAAGTTAAATCTCCATGTATGGTATTGGTAACTTGTAATAACTGGTTAATCATATCGAATATGATTACCGGCGCTGGACTATGGTAATACTGTTCATCTTGATCTGGGATTTGATCGGAAAACCAATCAGTTTTATCTTTTTCAGCAGTGGTGGTCATCCATTCTTGAAAATTACGTTGCATATTACTTAGATACTCATCTTCCAGGGCCTTAAGATGATCGGGTTGCAATAAGGAACCCACTAATTGCTGTATATTCACTTGAAGGTCAGGATGAGCCATTAATTCATGGCCCGGGTAAGTATTAATAACCCATGAAAGCATCGAAACATATTCATTACCTTCCAAGCCACTCCTGGCTATACTGTCAAGCTAAAAATGTCATAGAATTCCATTCAATTTAATTCTTAATTAATTCTTTTTGAACAAGAAAGTGTTCTACTTACATAATTGGACAAACCCTTATGGTACATTTTTACATATTCTTCAAAGATATTGTAGTGTGGCGGGAAACAAGGTACGCACAATGATTTAACAACTCTCAAGTCTTCCAAAATAATTTGACGCAATATCTCCAAATCTCTAACCAGCCACATTTTATTATCGATCCTTTCCTCCAATTTTGAACCTTCTATACGTGTGATTACAGCATTTTTTAACACATCCATAGCCATGGCACGCCATTGCTTCGGACGACCTGGCGGCAAAAACGAAGTTACCTTTTGCTGTTGTAAAGCAAATTGATCATTCTTTTCCTCCCTTTCTATTATACGTAACGCCGTTACTATTACAGTAGGTTCTTTGCGAACGGTGTTAAGTGTGCGACTTAAAATCAAACGTAATTTCTTTTCCAAAGCTTGTGACACCGTATCTACCTTTTCGAAATGGCGCTTCAAAGTAATTTTATCAGAAGCATGTTGTTTTGGTTGCTTATGCAATTCGTACAGTAAATCATCTCTAGAGTTTTCTAAATCAGCTAAACTTTGATGGGCATTCAAAAGTTTGTCTTCGTCAATCAGAGACATTGTTTTTTGGACGCTAGCTTCCACATTGAAAATATGCTTTAGATTCTCCATAGCCGTGGCATATTGCGAATGTTTAGTATTCTCTTCACGCACATCTTCTAAGGCTTCGTAAATTTCTGGAACACCCTGCATAAGTTTTTCGACTTTCGACATACGTTCGCCAACCTCGCATACATCTTCCATGCATGTTTTCAATTGTTTCAAGCCTACTCGCACACCTTCCAATTGATTTTGCATCCCTGTTTTTAATAGTGCTTCAACTGAGGCCTTCTTCCTAGCGACGCGATGCCGATATTGTTCAACTTTTTCCAGTTGTCCTGGCCGTGGCAGCATATTTTTTATGTCTTTTAGAGCTGCCTGACGAGCTTCCTCTTCCAACTCTTGCAAATCCATAGCGAAGGATTACAATAGTTCCTTATTTTTTCTTCAATTAATTTAAACAAACTTTTTCTAATATATGCAATTAATATGTTTGCGAAATTACCCACACATTTCTACAGATATATTGTTGATGAATAAAACTGTGGAACATTCGCGATACGAAATATGTTATAATTTAAGGGCGAACACAAAGATTGCGTTATGCGCGTTGTGCGCTATGCGTGGCTAATGAAATTTCAAAATAAAATTCATTAAATATGTTTGTACGTAGATGAAAATATAGTTTACGTTGCTTTGTGCGTGAGAGCAAATTTTTAGCAAACATTTCAAAAATTTGCGTGCGTTTGCATTGGTAGCCATAACAATGTTGTATTTCTGGAAAAAGTAAAAAAATCATACGGTTCACCTTTCAACCAGATTATGACCCTTGACTCTTTATTCACAATTTTTTTAGAATTAAAAAGAAAACTTACGCTAAAGTATCTATTGCTGTAGGAAAAAAAATATTTTGATTATTGATTGCATATTACTTCAAATCTTACAAAAAAAAAAAAAATAACATAGAGCGGATTTTATAACAGAGAACAAACCTTTCTATCAAAGGGATAATCACGTATGAAAAATTTAGTTTTCGGTTTTGTATTTAGCTATCTGGCAAAAACGTCATATACAGACGAAAGTAAACTTTCATCTGCGCGATTACTATCTAGTTTTCGCTTTTTACAAGCAAAAAGTTCGACACATTGTACATATCTATAAGTCAATTTTTGTAGTATTTCGTTATTGTATGCTATTATTATGTTATTCGAATGTTCTCTTATTTCGTTCTTTTACAAATTCTGCAATTCTGTTATTCTTTTATCCTTTTATTTTGTTGTTTCATAAAGCATGTCGAAATTAACCAACCTTAACCAGTCTTAACCAACTTCAAAATTTAGAAAAATTAAGCAAAATTAAGTATTGTTAGGCATTGTTAAGCATAAATAACGAATACGTGTCTGAAGTGTCTATTTATAGTATAGATGTTATATTTTGTTTTTTTTTGATGTTGTATATCGTTTTTGTCTTATATATCGTTTACAGTTTGTTTTCATATCAGTACGTTCTAAACTGTGCCATCTGTTGTGTTATTCGATTTTGTTTCATTCCATTATTGCGTTTCTAAAGAATTCTCCGTGACACAAACCAAATCATTATAAAAATATCCCCGACCATAAACATCCCAGTGGAAATAATAAATGATGAATAATTTGTATAACTGCTGTACATATATTTTATTTGGAGATTTTGTTTTTGCATTTTTTGTCGAAATAAAGAACTGCTCAATTATATTATTGCATTTTCCGATTTTGTTCACATTTTCTTGCACGCGTCTTCGTTTATATTTTAAAATTAAGTGCTTTGTTGTTGCCAAAAGTAAACTCTGCTGGATTTTCTGTTGCACATACTGATTTTCCGGTTCATATGTTTATTTCCTTTTATTCTAACAAAAAATTGTTGCTACTCGTTTAATATTATTTGTTATTAATCTTTTAATAGCATTCGTTTAATTCGCAGATTGGCGGGATAACCGGATTAAGGAAACATCATAGACATTGCAAAAATTGGTCACCCCACAAAGCCTACACCGTCTTTCTTTCTTCTTTAATACACGATGATCATTAGTTAGTCACGTATTTATTTCAAGTCTCATTTCGGCATTCACTTTCTATTCAATCCTTTTTCAATTACGTAAAAATACACGATGAAGGTCAGCAGGAATTCAAAGTCAATTTAGTCGTATCAGTGCTTTCGTCTTTTGACAGAGTTAGCCAAGGAAAATTTGGTTGAAGTCATGTTCTTGCGTTGGGTTTAATTTTTTGTTTAAAAGATTCCATTTCAGATATGACTTCATTGATAAGATTGGAAAAAAAAAATTCCACACAGGTAGGCCTACAAGAATATTTGCGGAGTAATCGTGGCCGCTTAGACTGCTCCTAGTGAAACTTCGTTCGATCGCGTAAAGCTATACGAATGAAGTGTCTTTTTTCTAAGACAATCTCCAAAACAACATTCTTAACATGTCATTTTACAACTTTGCGTTAAGACCCGAGAAAAATCAAAGTACAGCCAGAAAGATTTTTTTCAAACCTCGACTAATTATCAATGATTTTAAGTTTAAAAAGAAAAAAGTGTCAATTTTCCAAAAAAAAAGTTTATGCAAAGGTGCTTACAGCCGTCCGCACAACACGTGTTACACAAATTTGACTCCTTAAGTAACAACTTATTGAAAATAAAAAAAAGAAGGAAATCTTGCCAACGATACGAGAGAATAAAACATTTTTCACTCTTTATTGATTTTCAAAGAGCAGAACAACATGACCATAACGTGTTCATAACGTAATAAAAGCTGTAGCTGTGGTGTGTGTTATATTTACATAGATTGACTTTTTTTTTCCCCCCATCAATATCCTTCCGCAAGCAGGCTGACTGTCTGACGTCTTAATCAGTAAACTTTCATCTCGGGATTACAGGCTAAGTTTCAAAGAATTTATTCAAAGCAATGTTGAATAAAAGCGATGTGTGGGGAGGGGGTGAGGGCGTGTGGGGCATAAACGAAAGAAATTAAATCGAGCTTAGAGAGAATCTTGGATACCCAACAAATGCAAGGAACATGTATAAGACATTTTGTTTCGTTAAGAGTTCATCGGTTTAAGGACATTTTGTACGGAGAACCTTCATACAGTTCTCGTAAGTATGCAGAAAAAAACTTATTCTAAGTTTTAGCTTTTTTTTGATTTTGGCGGATAGCGACTATTTTCGGATCTTATCACATGGCCGGAAAGAGGCCGAATTTTACGGTTACGAGACATGTACTTTATTTGATACATAAAAATACAATGAGATGACTTCTAATAATTGATATCAAGCGGGCGGATGAGTGCAGCCAAATCGATTCCGAATTTTATGCTTGTCAAATAAGAGCATTAGTTGAAATATAAGTAATCTTTCGACAATGTTCGAACAAATTTCGACGGACAGATGTACATACTTAAAGCTGCTACGAGTTTTACACTGGTTAAATAGGGTGAATAAATATAACTTTATGAGGCTTTAATATATAAATGTCTAAGAGTTCTAAGTGCTGGCAACGGACGCACAAGCAGACAATCTATAGATTGAAAAATTGCGAACGTTATGTGCAGTACAAGAGCACTTTGGAAGGGTTCTAAATAGTAGCGATAGAAGGACGGGTGCCCATAAATAATTTGGCTCAAAATATCGCTCTTATCGAACATGAACACTTTTTGAATAATACAAATGTAGTTTTCAAAATTGACGGTAGACGGATGGACAGCCATATTTAGATGTGTTCCGAATTTTGCGTTTATCATGCGTAATTATTATTTTCAAGTTTTCTTATTCTCAAATTTCCATATAAAGTATTTACTGATGAATCATTATTTTGCGGACAGATGGACAGACCTATCCAAATCGACTTTGAATTTTGCGCTTATCTCGTATAAGCACTTCTACAACAGCTCTAACGAAAATGAAGTGACTGGCGGTCAGACCCCTGGCAAGGGCATATTACTATCTTGATTCGTATTTCGTAACATCATACAAACTGAACGATAAACTTAATAAATCCTAACATTTTTCGGTGAGATGGATGTAAGACATAAAATTTCAAAGAAACAACAAAAAGTCAATCAAACGCTTGCAAAGAAAAAACATTTAAATAAGATGCAAATCTCTGACTTTACTCTTCTTCCCTGTCGACCTTCTACCCTCTAGTCTATTCTCTTTGACTTGTGCTGTACAGCACACTCCCGCTTATAAGGAAAAACCTATAATTTTGAAAACAATAACTGTAACAATATTTTACACTTCGCTTAACCACCAGTTGTTGTTCTTGTTGTAATCGTTCTTGTAGTTACTGCTACTTTACATGTTTATTATTTCAACCCAACCTCGAAAAAAAAAGCAAAAAACAGAGAAAAGATGCTTCCAAAGCTGCTGCTACTTTCAAGAAGAACGTATGCTATGCGCGCTCATGGCTTAAGAAAACTGCCAAGAATTAATTCTGCTTAAATTTTATAAAAGCAAAAGAGAAAAAAAAAAAAAAAAATTTCAATTTCTTTGCCGTTTGCTGTTTAGAACTTTCTTTTTGCATGCGTCCAATGGTAATAACATCTGTTTGTTATAATGTATAATATAGACTCTCGGTGACAGAGACACGTGGCAACACCATGTCATACCATACCATACCATACTATACTATACTATACTATACTATGCAATATAGTACCGCAACGCACACATCGAATTTCATGGCATAAACTACAACTCATTCTCTGTTATGCGTGCCATGTTTCTTACTTCAATTACCCTTTCATGCTATACTTAAAGACCAAAAGTCGCATCAAGTTATACAAACATATATATAAGTATATGTGTGTATGTGTGTTTGAGTATGTGCGCTCATATTATCGTAATCGCATCCTAATTGCAAGAAAATTACTCCCACGTGCTCGTGTAACTTGATCATTCAAATCAACAAGAACATCATTGTCATCATCATCATCATCATCATCATCATCATCGTTGCCATCATCATAGTTATCATCATCATCATCATTATTATCATCGTCATTGTCACATCTTCGTCACTAATATCAAAGTACACGTACGCATATATATATATATATATATGTAGATATATATGCATGCCATAGTGTACGTGTGTATAGGTATACACCTAATTCAGGTTGCTTACTATCTCCTGCACGCACAAACACACAAAAACAAAAAGAACACCAATCAACATACAACATGATGTCGTTGATTAACAGAACACCACACACACACATATAGAATGTATTATGCAATGATTCCTGATGAGTAAATTATTTTCGATTTAAATTTAAAATTCGGAAATATTCAATTCTTTTTGCTACACTTAGTCGCAGGACTAATTGCCGGGAATGTCACAAATATTTCGTAAGCGTTTTCGAAGTATGTGGTACAGCATCAATTACATAGTAGAACGGAACTATTCGAAAAGCTGGACCAAATTTTAGGACATAACCTCAAAAGAAGTAAACGAACTGTAAGGCAATCTTTTGCAAAGATTTTCTACATTTCTGTC